GTGGGGCGGCCAGTCGGGCGACCATTCAGCACGACAACACACTATCAAGTTATGCAATTCAGTTCAGAAAGCAGCTGTTGAATCAATCAATCATTTGAAAATATTGGGTTGGCAAGTAGCATATATACATATATGGGGGATGACTTATTTTGATCCTTATATTATCGTACCCAAGTGCTCTACGATCGTCTTCATAATGTCGCTGACGAGATGAAGTTCTACGACTCCCTTCTGCCATGAAAACGTCAGCACTAGACATCCATCACCACCAGTAATCGCGGACACCTCAAAGGCGCTCCCTGTTACATTTGCACTCTGCGAAAAGACCATCCTGCCAACTAGTGGCTTCTGTGAACCGACCGTTGCTTCTAGATTAGACCCGAATACACCCAAGTTCGAGACTTCGTAGCTATCAGCCCTATTCTTGCCTATCTTAGACAGGAATAGTTCACTGTGGTAATCGCCGACATATTTTAATAGATTTGATATTGCGTTTTTTCCCTCCATATTTATTGTGTCCTCAATTGTTTTCCTGGACCTGACGGCTTCGTCCCATGGAAACTTGAAATTTCCGGACTGGTCAAAAAACCCTTCTCGACGATACGAGTCTTGGAAAGCCTGCACAAACACTCCCATGGAGTCATCGCAGATCCGGCATCCCAGCCATCGCCGATTTGAAAGCGCGCCAACACATCGGAGCTGTGTGTAATGCGCAGAGAGGTTTACGAACAGAGCACCAGCAACCAAAGTGTGTAGAGCTGCCGTTATAGTAGTTTTATTTTTGCGACAGAGGTCCCTGAAGGAAGTAGTCTCAGATTCAGAAAGGACAAGATGGCGTATTTCACTCTGTAGCGGCATGGTGATCTTTGAACCAGTCCATAGGCAGGGATCCTGCTTGTTCCAGATTTTCTCCTTGAATAGTATCGAAAGCAAGAACGGAATCGAAACCGGGTATCGGGTGGAGCGCTCTAAGCTAGGCAATAGGGGAATATTCAGCGCTGTAATAGTATTCTCTACTTCA